TTCTTCATTTCTGCTGTAGTGAGTTTGATGCATGTCTCAGGCCTTTGGAGGCATGAAATCGGCTGGTGAACCCCCTGCCGTTCGCAAACCCCCGAATTAAAAGCAAGATCTTGATTCCCAAGTCAATTAAAGGAGGAAACTGAAGCCCTGGCCTGGTGGGGTGCTCATTTAGGCCAGGAAACACTGTCATCGCCTTTTGGTGTTTTGTTTCTTGCTTTCTTTATCTCTCGCTCTGTCACAGAAAATCCCTGTGGTTTATATTAAAGCTGATTGGCTGTGCCTGTGTGTGTGTGTGTGTCTGTGTGTGTGTCTAAAATCTGCCACCCCTACCTCCCCTTCAGCACCCTGCAGACGACTTTTGATGCCTGCATAACCACAGAGATCAACACGAGGGGCTCGCTCGCCCTCACTCCCCGCCCTGTCTCGGCCTCTCCATGGCGACCTGGTACATCTGGTCCACGTCTTCAGGCAGGCGACGCCCCCTCGTTAACTAGTGGTTACAGCTCCAACAAGGCGGAGATGTTGGAGGGAATGACAACAGACAGCGCTGGTTACGTGAGCGATGGAGACATCCTGGGAAAGAGTGTGAGGATGGACAGCGCCACCAGCGGGTGAGTGTGTGCATGTGTGAATCAAACACCACAAATGATTGCTTGAAGAATCAAGCATGGGAAGTATGACGTCTTGTAAAATATCATAAAAGAAACTAAAGTAATGAAATATTCAGCAGAATGGCTGTATTACTGTTCACTCACAGTGCAAGTCATTATTCTAGACAATAAAAAAGAATATTTGCAATTTTGCACTGAATATGGAATTTTAACAGTGCTGTGTACATGAACTGTACCATGGACACACCATATCAAAGTGATCTTTTAGTTTACGCACACAGTCTTATTTATAAAGCAGCAAAGCTAGATGACTGGACAGAAGGATTTTAAAAATGTCACTTGGCTTCAGTGGGAGGTAATACAGTGTGTGGAAACCTATAAAAGACGTAATTGACCATATTTTTATTTACCATAACTGCCATGTCACCCAGAAGAGTCTGGTTCTCTTTTGCGTCTGGTTCCTCTCAAGTGTTCTTCCTCATGTCATCTCACTGAGATTTTTTTCTCGCCACTGTCACTTCTGGCTTTTTCATTACGGATCTTAATCTACACTATATGGCCAAAAGTATGTGTACACCTGACCATCGCCATGATCCATATGTGCATCCCATTCCAGATTTAGTCTCACCTTTGCTGATAATAACCTCCACTCTTCTAGGAAGGCTTTCCACTAGATTTTGAAGTGTGGCTGTGTGGATTTACTCATATTTAGCCATAACAGCATTAGTGAGATCAGGCACTGATGTTGGATGAGGAGGCCTGGAGTGCAGTCAGCATTCCAGTTCATCCCAAAGGTGTTCAGTGGGGTTGAGATCAGGGATCTGTGCAGGACACTCGAGTTCTTCTACACCAACCTTTGGCAAACCATGACAGATTTTGGGCCCTGTAGTTCCACTGAGGGAAATTTTAATGCTACAGCAGAAAAAGGTATTCTAGGCAATTCTGTGCTTCTAACATTGTGGCAACAGCTTGAGGAAGAACCACATATGGCTGTGATGGCCCGGATTTCTGTAAAGCTATTTTGTATGATCTATAGTGTTAAAATGTGCTATATAAAGAAAATGTAATAGTAACAATGCTAAAAATTAATTACTGAATAGTTTAGAACAAGCTTGAAAGAGTTGCTTTGAATTCTATGGCTTAATAAAACTCATGAAATAAATGTTAAATTGGTGCAACTTATTTTAATGTAGGAAAAAAGTCAATCTAGTTGTGTTAATGTGACAATAATAGATATAATTTATTTAATTATAGAATTGATTTAACCCTTTACAGTCACAGATTAATATTCAGCTATTCATCTGAACGTATAAGATTTGATAATTATTATGAATTATATAATTCAACTAATAGGAAAAAGTATGTAGTTATGAGAGTGAAGAATATAAGGCCTTGTCCGCTGATGGCTCCTTGGAATGGATGGATGGATGGATGGATTTTATTGATCCCCAAGAAGAAAATTTTACAGGTTAATAATACTTAATCTGGGATCGGTTAAAGAAATAAATGCACATTATAACTTTTGTGTAAAATAGATCCTGTTAATTATTCTTGCTTCTTTCCCAAACATGAAAAGGCACAGTGTTGGTGAAATTTTATGAAATGTCTGATCTCCTCTTTCTTATGAGAGACTCAAACAGGAATCCAGATCACTGGCCAACCTTTATTCAGTTCATAAATAGATGTTTTTGGCTGGTGAAGAAAAACATCTGGGACATGAAAGATGTTAATGCTAGTCCAAGCAGGTTTGTGCTGTTTAGCGCATGTTTGCTAGCAAAACCTTGATGCTGAAGCTGATCTTGCTCCTTCCTTGATTGTGAGCACTTAATGACCAGTTATTCACCTTTAAACATTTCTCACCTAGTTTTTCTAGTTGCCAAAACCTCCACTGTAAAACACATAGCATATACAGACACACTAACATCAGAGATTAAAAGAGGAGAAGTTTATATGTGTGAATGGAAACCCTGAAAATGATGCTGTAATTCAAACATGCACTGCTCCTCACCATCCTCTAGGTGGCTCCAGATGTGTATTCTTGCAGTCCAGTGCACCTTTTTTAAGCAACTTTATTTAGCTCTAGTTTTTCATAAAAGCTTGACTTGTCATAACTCCCATATACATTTTTTATGGACTGTGTAAAATTTGAATTTCAAGTCAGTCTTATTATACCTTTAAGCTCAGTAACGCAGCCAAGTCTGCAGTGTGTGTGCAGTTTGATCCACCCGAGCGGGTACCTTGCCCTTAGCCGTGGTTCTTGAGCGTGTAATTATCCAGTGTGCATGCCAACTTTGTTTTCACACTTTACTCTTTATTTGTGCTTTTTTGCCTAGGAGCACTGCCAGCAGCCTCTCACGTGTTCAGAGCTCAGCAGCCCATAAAATGATAAATTATGTGAGCTTATGAATTAAAGTTGTAGAGTTTGGACCAAAAAAATAGCACATTGCAATTATATTGCTGCAAATTTCAAATTCAATTTATATACAATTACAATATGTGCAATAACGTGCACATGAACATGTCATTTTAAACCATTAAAATAATCCATGGTGAATAATGTTTTCTTATGGTCAGGAAACTACTAAAAAAATGACCTCTATGAAGCATTGCTACACTTTTAACCTTAACTGAAAATGGCAGGATTTGTGAAAAAATTGCACACACACACACACACACACCCACCCTCCGGCTGTCCCAAGTAGCTAGCTAAATGTTATGGGCTAGTGCGGATAATATCCTGAATTCCTGATGATTTGGAGTCCTGATGATTACAGAGTTTTTGGAGCAATCAGTCAACAAGGATCAACTGACAAGTGTTGATCCATGTCTCTGCATGTGTGTGCGTGTGTGTGTGTGTGTGTGTGTGTGTGTGTGTGTGTAAGTACGTCTCAGAAACCCTCTGGGCACCAGCGTGTGGCCTGAAGACACGAGTGAAGGGTCATGAGAAATATTCTGGGTTGCCTCCTCAGAGATGAGTGCAGCGAGGGCAGTGAGGAAGAGAAGAGAGAGAAGCCGTGTCTCAAATCCTGAACTATAAGAGCAAATTGTTTGTAAACACTCATATGATACACTAGAACCAATCAACTGAAATGACCAAAATGGCTGATAAAACCAAGCGAGACTGCTGCTATATGGGTTTGGGGTTTAAATTGAGATTTTTGTGATGTGATGACATATAAAGCCTCTAATCTTAATGTTTGACACAGTAATTCCTTGGACCACTGTTATGGTTTTCTGAAGTTTCCACAATTCTGTACTTCCATTCAACAGTGTTTGGCACAAAAACTGAAAAAAAAAACTTTGAAGAATAACTGCAAGGATTTGCGATGCTAAGAGGTAGGGGTGTAAAGATTCACTAGGTCACGATTCAAATCACGATACTGAGTTCACGATTCGATTCAATTTGATTCTCGGAATATTTTGAACAAAATTTTAATGAATAAAAATTCTGACTGTAAAGACATCTTTGTCTGTACAATAAAACTAAATAAATCAAAAATTGAGCAGAGCAGAGTAAACATTGTGCTAATATTGTAAACAAAATGTACTACAGGTTCACCATATCTTCAAAATAATTAAAGAAATTTATAAGTTCACCCAAAATTTTGATTGATTAAAACATAATAAGCTCTGTAGCAGAAATAGAGCTCCAAAGTCGGCTAAAATGCCTGATAGCCTCTCGAAGAGCTCTTTTTAATGGTTAGAAAATGGTTGTGTAACCACATAACGTATAATGTGTGTTGGTCATTGTGATCCGGAGTTATCGGGCCCAGCGTGCACGATTATATATTTTAACTCTATGTATTGCACAGATTGGGACCGCTGTTGTTCAGACAGTGCAATTGCATTAGATGCATAATTAATCGAATGCTGATTTCCACAGTGTGAGTCGCACATTTCCATGATGTACATTGTCACATTTTTGCATCGTGATGCGTTGTCACACCCCTACTAAGAAGCATTTAAAGAATAAAATTTGTGATATGTGTAAATTTTTGGATACATTATAAACAGGGCTACTACTAGTTATTAACTTCCATCTATCCATCCGTCCAACCATCTTGTGAAAATGCTTTGTCCTGGTCAGGGTCGATATCCAATGAACATTGGACACGAGGCAGAAATACACCCTTGATGGAACGCCAGTTCATTCCAGAGCATCACACAAAGCATCTCTTTGCACACTCGTTCACACTTGGGGCAATTTAGCGTAATCCAAGTCCAAGTCCAGTCCAAGAGCATATATTGGGAGGGTGCAGGAAACCAGAATACCTGGAGGAAACCCACTTGAATGAAACTCCACACAGTACCCCAAGCGTAGGATTGACCCAGGAACCCTAGAGCTGTAAAGACCACAACACTACCTGCTACGCCACTGTGTCACCCAGTAGTTCCATGACGTAATGGTTAGCATTCTGGTCTCTGAATCCAGTGATCTGAGTTCATATCTTGGTGAAACCTCTAATCTGTTTCCCAAATTTCCCCTAGAGAGCAATAAAGTACATCTATCTATTTATGTCTTTATCTATCTTCAACAAAGCTGGATAGGCCATTCCCACAAGAGACAAACTTGGAGAGGCATAGTGGCAATGCAGGCTTACACTTTTACTCTCTTGAGTAATTTTAGACTTTGAATTTATCAAAATTTGGTCAGGAAATGTTTGACCCAGGCTCAGTGGTAATGGTCCAGTGAAAATTTAGATCTGTGCTACAGAGAGGTTTTTTTTTTAGTCCACACATGTACAAAGACAGCTCTTAATTTTGATGATGGTATAAATATTTCAATTATGCTTTTTATGATCTTTTTATATTCCTCATCTTTTTATATTCCTCATTCCTCATTGGTACTAGATAGTCATGTGTAGCACAGGAGTGATTTGAGACAGAGCCTTAAAAAGAGACAGAGGAGCAGAGATTTCTACTGAGACAGAAAGAAAGACAGAATATCCAGTTAGAACCTACTTCATGAAAACAATAGCAACCTTTGGACTGAGTGGAAATAAGTGTTTAGTCATGATGAGGCGTACATGAACAGAGAAATGTATAAACCACAGATATGGCACATGTTCCCTCTGACATCATCGTCCTGGCAACACTGATTTTATTCATTACTATACACCGATTCTCCATGTGAGAATCCAGATGTCTTAGTTTCTGTCAGACACAGACAGGAAGACGATATTACCTTTATACCACAGTGCTGTTGAATTCTCGACTCTGATTGGTCAGAAGGTGTTGATTCATTTTCCATAACAGCAACTCGGACAGTAGTGCCGGCTGCAGTGCAAATCACAGGTTTGTATTAATGCGCTCGTTCTAATACGTTATAGTAACCTCTAATTCACAGTAACTTGTATCATTTACGCAAGGAGTCTCCATTGGAAGTGCTTTGTTACTGTCAGTATGTTTTCCACCATGGGAAAGTCTGCAGGGCAGAGGAGATTTGTGGTTTCTGTCTAATATGACAAGTTGCATTGTTTTTGTCTTATTAACTTCAGAAGAAAGAAAAATGAGAGGCTAGTGGGGGAACAACTGTTTATAGTTGCTATAAAGTAAGTATAATGTATAGCAGGAGCTAGCTTGTTTCGCAGATGTTCCAAAACATTAAGTGTAACTATAATGGGGGAAAAAGTACAATATTTAATTTTTTTAGTTAATAAAAAATGTAAGTGCTGTTAAACTGCTGTGGTATAAAAGTAATAAAACTCTTGGTGACATTCTGTTATTAGAAAATAATCAACTTTTGGTGGTACCTGTTAATTAGCTTCCTATAACAGCACGTCCAGAAGTGCGTTATTCGTTATTTGGCAAATATTTCTCATTTTTATTTTTATATAATTTTTCAGTTTAGATGGTTTAATATGAAGCATGACACACACATGACACCCAGATTGCACACAACATACAACAAATACAAATTTTTAACCATTTAAGGTCATTCCTAAACGTAAAAAAAAATTAACAGAGAATATCTGCAGTTGTTAGTGTAACCTTAGATGCATATTTTATCAGGGCTCCTGAGAAAAACCTTATGATTTTTAGTCCTAGTTTCTGCCAAACCGCCAATCAGTTCACCACATGATGGCAGGTTGTGTGGTCACGGTTCTCTGGAAGCAAGTTTCCATGGAATTTGGTTTTGATGGAAATAATTTTTTTTTTAAATAATATCTTACAAATATTGGCAGCAATTTCTTATGTGTGATTTTTACAGATAAGCTTATGAAATGTTGCAAAAACAAAAATCCTGAGACAAAAATACTGCAAATACACAAATTTACTGACCTAATGACACAGTTTTCAAATGTTGGGAAAAGCAAGACGGCAGCAGAGCACTGAACTGGACTGAGGAAGACGTAATAATTGATGAATAGATAGAAAGATGGACAGACTACAATGCTACAGTAGCAAACAAAAACTGACATGATGAAAACAGTCATTTACACCTCAGTGAACCTCAGTTTACTTCTGGAGAATAATACAGAGCTTATATTTTATGGAAAATTATGCCACTTTAAAGGGAAGTTTTTATAGTTTCATGTGATCTGTTGCATTTTACAACTGTGGATGGTTTAGTGTGAAAATGAGCTAAGAATGAAGAACGATGGAAGAAGCTAGACAATAATAATCAGTGGTCCATTTTTGAAAAGTCAGAGAAGCCAATGAGAAAACACCTCCAATTTGTGATGTACATAAATTTGTGATGGAAATGAGTCAAACAAATCTGTCATTCATTCATTCATTCATTTATTATTCTATTATTCTATTATTCTATTACTTATTATTTATTTATAATTATTTAGATCTAGCCAAACCTATGCATCAGCTTTTTTTTGGCAATGACATTAAATAAAACATGTTTATACCAAAAATGCCAATCTGCTGTAAACGAGCATCAATATTCGCAAACTTTTAGTTGGTAATGGAAACTTCTGGAAGCTTCTGATGACGTCCTAATCCCCCTCACTCAGTCCTCTTGCCCTTTTGAACTGCAGTTAAATGAGTGATGGAGGGTTGCCAGGTCAGGGCCAATGTACAACCTGGTTTGAACGTTTCGTGTTGCTGACAAACTAACATCACACTGATTCTCTGCTGCTGTGCTGCTTAAGTTGGCAACACATTCATGTTCTTAAAAACCGACATTTACGGTTTACCATAATCGGAGGGGAAAATCCTGTCTGAGTTTAAGGTTAAGAATAGCCAGCATTTTTTTTTTTAAAGAGAAAGGACTGATGGCAGATTTTTGACTAACCGCCAACAGCACATTGCAAACTCAATGCTATAAGAGCACAATTTAAACCTCACAATTTCAGGACCTTTCAGCTGAGAACCAAAAGTAAAAAAGAAAGAAAGAGAAAAAAAAGAAACATCCTTACACTGAGTGTAGATTTACGGCAGGCCTGACACAGTTGCTTGATTTTTTTTTAGGATTGGAATCAGCAAGCTTTGGATTTATATTTTTCTGAAGTTAAAAATAAGTTAACATTCCAAATAGCTGGATGATAAATGACGTTTATCTAAAGCGACACATTAGATAAGGGAAGGTCAGACCCGTTTTACTAATTTTTTCTGTCTTGTTATCTCGAGGTCGTGACTTTTTCTAGCGATTTCAAGATAAAAACTTGTTTCACAGAGAAAAACTTCGTGATTAGGCTTGTAGATGTGTGTTGGTCAAAAGAAGGCCATCTAAAACTCTAAGTAACTGCGTCCTAACAGGGCAAGGTGAAGAATCCTTCTCCTCGTAGTGGAATAAATCATCTAGAAACTAGTTACGTAGCATTATTTTTACACGCCTATCAATGGTTTCAGTATTTGGATTGGAAAAACAACATTTTTTTACGATCTTGAATAATAATATGTTATCTCAAGGTGTCTTAAAAGAAAATATTAATGGGGAACCTTTCTGGACATCTGGATACATAGATTCTCAGATGTTCTCAACATTTTGATAAAGACTTATAAATGTGATAAAATTTAATATCATTATACTGACAATCTCCATATATTTACATGTAATGTTATGGAATGTCTGAAAGATAAGTTAGTTCTTGTTATCACTTACATTATAGCAGCTAGAAATAGTCATTCCCTCATGTTCAAGAAAAACAGTTGTTCCAGAAAAAAAAAAAAAAAAAAAAAGCAAAACCACAAAATAAATAAATAAATAAATAAATTGCAACATCTGCTATAGAAAATTAACTAACACCTTCCAACCAATCAGAGTTGAGAATTCAACAGTGCTGTGGCATAATGTGAACCATCACTTTACTGCACAAGTCAGCCATTAATCTGTTTCTCTATCTACACACACCTGATGATTCATTAGCTGCATCTGTGCAGAAGGTCATAAATTATAACGTCATCATAAAAATGACATGTTGTTTGGACTTTCTCCTTACCTCCCTTTTTAACAAGTCTCAGATTAGTCAAGTCTACCCAGTGTTGAACAAAGAGTCAGCAGTCGCACACATTTAAGTACAGCAGTCACACACATTTAAGTATAGTAAAGTATCTGCTTTAGCCTGGAGTCATGGACATCATCACAAAAGGTGTGTGTTACAAGCTTCCTGTTTCACTTTGATAAGTCACTTCCTGTCATTTTGGCTTTTTTTTTTTGCTTTGAACATACTTAAAATACGCCCTTATATCAGGACGCCTGTCATGTTCCAGATGAGGTTAATATCTATATTACATTAGGAAAAAAAAAACAGGAACGTAATATGTGCAGTGTCTGTTTCATATATCTGCAGACTCATGTACTCCTCTTTAACCTTTAAGTGGATCTGCCCTGAGGGTGGATTTTGAGAACCCGTTTACAGCTGAATAGCACAGGGCGCTCTGGTCTATCCACCCATCCATCAACTCTTCCATTCATCCATCATCCTACAGCCTAAAGGATTTCCCTACTGTTCCATCCTGCTATACCTGGGCCCCTTCCCCTTCTTCAAACACACACTGTCTCACTCGCTTTTTTACCACCTGTGCTTTTATTTATTTATTTACTTATTTACTTACTTACATATTATAAAGGCTAAAAAATGTATTGTAGTCAAGATGTCACTCTATTCTAGTGAGAAGCAGATGCTGAACGCTGGCCAGAACTGTAATTTGGTGTTCTGTACATATATGTGGAGTACATTTAAAACACAGTTTCACTATAAAATGCAAAGCGAAACTAAGTAATAATTCAGAATACTGTACATGCTGGTTTTAGTAGTTAAGCTACATACAGTACCAAAAGCATCCTGGAATACATTTTTAAAATTCAACTAACAAAATAAACACTTTTTTTCCCATATGATCTCATGCTTGCAAATTCATCAAGGTTAGTATGACTATGTAGGATGAAGGTAGGAGATAGTGTTTGTACTGTTTCATACTTTTTTACTTGTATGAAATCAAGCAAAATTGTTTTTTTTTTCTGCATGGCTAAAAAGTGACAACTGTGAGACAAGTGAAAATAT